ATTTCATTATAGTAAATCAAAAGGTTATTTAATTCATATCTTATTACTTACAAAAAAATATACTCAGGTTTAACAATTAATAGTCAGTTTTTAATTCAAAGATTTTATGTTACATTCTAAATGATATTTGTCAACAAGAAATATGTTGGTTAACTTTTAGAAAAGTATTGGTTGAGTTAAAGTATGAATTCAGGGATTATATTGATTTGTATGAGGATTTCATATAGCTACCAGTAGGCTAAAATTCAAGCAGTTTAATATTATCATTTCTGACATTTGAGAATGTTGGAAAAAGACAGGTTTTTCAAGGATGTAGATTAATAATAGTAGCAAAAAGCTAGCGGGTTAAATTTAGAATCACTAAACATCTATATTCTAGCTTCATGTGTTGTAGTATCGATATGGACTAAAAAAGGATATACTTACATGAATATTGTACCCTTCTTGCATCATAGGCCGCCAACCAAGAAACCCTAGCAACTCTGTCTTGGGCTTTTTCTTTTAGTTGTTGTCAAGTGATGTATACATCCAGTTCCTAGAGCCTCTTTCTTTGCCTTCAGGACCTCAAGTTGGAATTTATTTAATAATCCAGTTTGTTGGCTTCTGCAATGTATGTCTAAAATAGCGTCCGGTTTTCCATCTTACACTAGTTTGCCTTAGACGAATATCTGCACTAGATACCCTCTCAGTGTCCATTCTACAGGACTTCAACACAACTCAGATCAAGAGCACGTAAATAACCCGACTAGGACCGGGAAGCCTGGTGGTCGGAGCGTGCTAATGAGATGGAAGCAGCAGCTGCATCTGGTAACTGCCGGAAGCTCTTCCAACTCATCCGAGCCACTGGCAGCAAGAAGTCTGGTGTGAGTGAAACAATCTACGAGAATGATGGGATGCCAATCACTAATATCTCTCGACGTCTTGGACGATGGGCGGAATTCTTCGAAGGGCAGTTCAACTGGCCTGCTGCTCCGGCAACATCAACCAGCTTGTCCTGCCCCCCATGGTCGGTGACGACTGATCCACCAAACGAGGCGGAAGTCCGCAAGGAACTCCAACTCTTGAAACGTTATAAATCACCTGGCCCAGATGACTTACCTCCGGCTCTTTTTAAAGATGGTGGTGACTTTCTGGCTAAGGAACTGACTGCGTTGTTTGGAAAGGTTTGGGAGCAAGAAAGTGTTCCAACATCTTGGAATGAGTCAATAGTCGTCCCTATCTTTAAAAAGGGTTCACGTTGTTCCTGCAATAACTATCGGGGGATAAGTCTACTTTCGATTGCGTCCAAACTATTGGCTTCTATCATTCTTCGTAGGTTGTTTAAAACCCGAGAACGATTGACTCGCGAGGAGCAGGCTGGTTTTCGTTCTGGTCGAGGATGCATTGATCACATCTTCACCCTCCGCCAAATGTTAGAACACCGTCATACTTATCGCAGGCCAACAATCGTAGTGTTTCTTGATATCAGGGCGGCCTTCGATTCGTTGGACAGGACTGTTCTCTGGGATTGTCTATTGAAGAAGGGTGTGCCTGAGAAGTTCATTAACATCTTAAAGGCCCTGTACACGAACACCTCAGGCAGAGTGAGGGCATACAACCACCTTTCTCCCTTGTTCCATTCGAGCAGTGGGGTTAGGCAGGGTTGCCCGATCTCACCATTCCTCTTCAACTTTGCTATCGACGACATCCTGGAAACAGCTCTGATGGTTGTAAGTAATGGCGGTGTGGATATGTTGCCTGGAGAACGACTTCTCGACCTTGAGTGTACGGATGATATTGTCTTACTGTGCGATAATGCTCAAGACATGCAATTCGCACTTAATCAGTTGGCAGTCAGTGTCCGCAGGTACGGCATGTGCTTTGCACCCTCCAAGTGCAAAGTACTCCTACAAGACTGGCAGGATTCTCATCCTGTACTCACCCTGGATGGTGAGGAGATAAAAGTAGTTGAGAAGTTCGTGTATCTAGGTAGCTATATAAGTGCTGGTGGTGGCGTGAGTGATGAGATTGATGCACGTATAATGAAAGCCAGATCGGCTTATGCCAATCTGGGCCATCTTTGGCGCCTTCGTGATGTTAGTCTGGCTGTAAAAGGTCGGATCTACAACGCGTCGGTGAGAGCAGTTTTGCTCTATGCTTGTGAAACCTGGCCTCTCCGAGTTGAGGATGTTAGACGTCTCTCTGTGTTCGATCATCGTTGTCTCCGAAGGATTGCTGACATTCAGTGGCAACACCATTTTAGTAATGCAGAGGTTCGGCATCGTGTGTTTGGGCGCAGAGACGATAATTCAATTGGTGTCACCATCTTGAAACACCGACTTCGGTGGCTTGGACATGTTTTACGAATGTCGTCCCAGAGACTTCCACGTCGTGCATTATTTGCCGACCCTGGGACTGGTTGGAAAAAGCGGAGAGGAGGTCAGTGTATGACATGGTGTCGTGGCATGAAAGGAAGCTGCAAAGGGCTAGCTTCTGTTGGTCCTTCACGACTCCCTGGCTGGGGTCCGAGAGATGGTGCAACACAGTGGCTAGAGACGTTATCAGATATGGCTCAGAATCGAAGCCAGTGGCGATCCTGCTGCAACCTTCTTTTACTTTCTACATAAAGAATGGTTCTAACTTTCTTAACCGAAAGAGTCTTCTGGTTGTACATTTCAGTCTGCCTTATCTTTTCATCCCTTCTCTTCCTACTTTCATTATTTTGTGTGGCGCATATGTACTTGGTGCCCTTTTGTACCAATATATATGTGTTTAAATAAATAATAAGCCCGACTAGAACTTGAGTATGTTGCCGCGTCAGCAGTAATAATAAAGGTAGGAAAATATGTAAGGCATCTAGTACCTGTCAGATTATCTACTAGTCTGACTAAGTAAGCAAGCAATCATTATTTTCCTATCCTGCATATCAGTGTCCCTCCTAAAAGTTTTGCATGATAGTGACGATATTTTTACGCATTTCATAATACCGAAAATCCTACTATGCTTTTTATTCACACTGTCACATTCTTCCTCATAATCAAGGAGCCTAATACGAACCGGTGAATTATGTTTAACTGATTGTACAGCAATGATATACGGCGTTGTAGTTTTGTCTGTACATGACCTATTGTTACGAAGGCCAGCTCGTTTGCCTTGAAGATAGGTGTCCACTGAATGACTTGTTCGGTTCAGTAACACCTCTGGAAGCTTCACTTGGTACTAACAGTAGTGTGATTCCTCTGTAGCTCTCGCACTTACTACGATGTTTATTCGAATTGTCAATGTAATATCCCCGTTTCCATTTTCTTGGCATTCTCACAAAACTAATTTTGGTCATCTTCACTACTGTCGTTGATAATTGCATTGCACTGGGTGCCGTTCATGGTAATCCTTTTCTTCATTTCCTAATATGCGTTGATCATCCTGGAGTTGTGAGTCTCCCGTTCCATCAGCACTTTTCGCACTGTCTTGGAGACCACTCCTTGTGTGTAGAGGTCATTTTCTTCATGATCAGAATAAAACAATATTTTTCCTACATCTGGCCTTTTCTGTTCAGCTTGTTTTAGTTGTTTCAAATAGAGCCAGGTTGTAAATCCTCATCGAACCAGTAAGATGATAATTCCGGTCTCTCATATAATTCGGACATTCCATGTCTTTATTTCTGCTCATGGTTGTCACAAGGGACATTGGCCTTGTAATTTCTGGCGATTCTCAACTTTCTTTATGAAGTGTCATAACTTTTTAAAATGAAAGTCCCTTTCCTCTCAAAGGGGAAAGTTCCTCTCTTTATTCTTGTTAGAGTCTTTATAACATCGTTCTACTTTACTATGTTATGTAGTTTATTCTTTCATTCGTTAACATGTATTACTTTGTATTGTAAGTTGGATAAATTTAAAAGCAGGTATATTTAAAATATTTTCTTGTTAACCGGATGAACGTAGGTTTTATCCCTTAGTGAACTCTTATTTTGTCCTATTGTAGTGGACGCTACTCACAAGATTGTTTGTAAGTAGTGTGTAGCGGAACATGGCATCGAAGTTGCAACAATTTTCAGACGAAGTGAAGAATTTCAGTTCATACAAAGCACGGGTTTAGGATAACATGTGAACACCAGACGAGAAGACGGTTCAGACTGCAGAACACACCGAAAAATGCAAATGGAAGATTGAAAGCTATGTATACTTATTTTATAAATGCTTAGTAACCTCACGATGGGCTTACTTTTCCCCTGTCTTTTATCACAATTTTACATCTTAGTGTCAGAACACGAGATGTAATAGTAATACATATGACGTTTATTAGGATCGATATCGAGATTTTTATTCCAACATTCGACTTAAAAACTAAAGTTATATGTCCATTCTGTAACACTTTTTGAACTGAACCTCGGTTTCGGCACGTTACAAATTTTAAAGCTGAAAGAATTGAAATTCATTTAAACCATTACATTTATGGAACCACTTCCTGCATGAATTTATCGCAGTGCATTACACTATATTTTCTTCCTCATCTTTGAAGATGATAATAGCAAATGTACCATAAGGTTAGCAATTTTGGATAATATTAAATGAAGTATCGGAACAATTAGTTCCTTTTTCAATCTTCAGATGCCGTTTAGAGCTGGAGTCAAAAAACAAATGAAATTAACTGATTGCCGTGATTAATTCAGTTTTTATCTGTATACTTAATCTATTTACATACATATCCAGGGATTTCTTCTTATGATAGTAAAAAGGACATTTTTGGAAAACGCAACTTCAATAATCAGTTTATTTAGAGTTTTAAAAAACAAGTAGAACATCTGTAAATTATAAACAAGAGAACAATGCATAATGTAACAATTAAAACGTCTGTACTTCAAACATAATTCAAAGAATTCACCTGAAATCTCTCTATCTTATTTATTCTCCTGAGTCATTTTAATCTGAAGAGATTTGATTAGTATGATGGAAATTAGTTGGAGTTGTTTCCTGGAGTTCATTATTATTAAGAGAACTTTCATTGAGGGTTAATTTAGTGAATTACTCCAAATATTGAGCATTACTTGTATATTCATAAGGAGAAATATTGATTCCCTTATTATGCCTACGATTATTTAGATTTTCTAATTTTATATTGCTATCTATATCATTGGGATTTATGATGTTTTTCATAACTATTTGATTTTTGTTTTCATACCATGGTTTTACAACTGATTTGTTTGATAGATTTTGCTTATTTGTTCTTTTATCATACATTTTATTCATCACAAAATTCACATTATCGTCTGGTATATGATTAATATCAGATTTTTTACCTGTTCTTGAACTATTGATATTATGATCAACTACATCATTTAGATTGTCTATTACATTTTTTGAATCATCTTCTAGTAGTCCTTTAATTGATTCATCTTCAGTTGATCTATACAATTCTATGTTGTATAGTTGTCTACAACTTATAGTATTCTTCCATGCAGCCTCTAATACAAAACGTATTATTTCGTATTCAACTAAATCTTCAGGTATAATTCTATTCTCATTTCCTTTGAACAGTTGATAATAATTTATTAATACAGTAAATACTGCTTTTGCATAGATATCATAATTCATTGGCAAATTTTCTTTTTTAATCTCTTTTAGTTGTAATCTTGCACTATTGAATTCCTTCACAAGTAACTTTATCAATTTCACATGATGAATAAACTTTTTTAGTACAAATAATAAAACAACCACACCAAGAAATATACCGAAACATATTAGACTAGTAAATAATAATTCTATCGTATGTTGTTCAATAAGGTTGTGTAAATAACCAGCTGGATTCCGAAGAAATGATGCACGTAAACTAATAGCTTTCCCAATTAGATCATAATCGTAATCTTTGCGAAAATTTGTTACATTTTCATAACCAGGATCAATGATTATTAAATCTTCATCATTGTAAAGTGGCATTTCTAACTTGACAGATAATAAGATCACTGTATAATATAGAAATATTTTATTCTAATGGTAATACAAGGCATATAGATTAACTTTTCTCTTTGTTTAAATAAATGTGTCTCCAGAATGATGAATTCAATATATCGATCTATGATAATAAATTTAATTTAGTTAAATAGTATCATCTACAAGTTAACCTATGTAATTTAGTGTCTTCATAATACTCACTGAAAAAGAAGCAACTTGTTAATATTTTCGGCTATTGATATTGTGATTCCGAAATTGAAATATAACTAAAAATAAAAGACCGGTACTTTCACTAGATGAATTGAAGTTATAATCATCTATATGCTTTTGAAATGTAAATAATGAATGGTATCGTGAGTTAAAAATTTTTTTCTCGTGTTAAATATACTTGAACTATTTACAGATATTATGATCACGATCATTTAATTGATAGATTTAAATTATTATTTTTCATTTTTATCGATTTTAAGGCAAAAACGAGAACCAATATTCTATATGATACTGTTTACCAAATATAAAATAAAAGGAAAACTACAGTTTAATAGATTGACTATTAAATAATAGACTCACCATATCTTTATTGAATAGGATTATACCAATCTTATGTGTATGATATGAGCAATTTCAAATTGATTACTTTTCTGATTTGTAAGTACTTGGAATAAACTATTTTCATTGTTGTTCAAGTATCTGATTGGAATCTTTCTACAATTCAGTCATCTTTATAAGGATATCAGTAAAATGTTTGTTGAATGCGTTGATGAACATAAGACAACTGAATGTTTGTTTTTATTGTTAATTATAAAAATGTTAGTCGAAACGTATCAATGGTTAATCTAGGTGAATTGCAGTCGAATAAAAATGTGACGAAACGATTCAACACTTATTAATTTCTGAACCTCATTCAGTTTATTTAAGATCAATCCTAAGTTTTTACATATACTGAAAGTTACTTGGATCACTTATGAATGTGCTAATAGGGTACCTATTCTAAATCTTTGAAATTCTACTCTTAAGTTATAAAAATTTTAAGTTCAGAGCTTAGTCATAGTCTCATGAACACCTTGAATGTCACTGCAATACTGTAATATGCATATACAGCCACCACATACCCTAAAGTGAAATTGTCGCTAGTTTCTGAGTGGGTGTAGTGATTCTGCTCGACATATTACTGAAAATATCTTCAATTGTTAACAACAGTACATTTTCAGTTTTTTTTGTACGAGGAATGATTGGTAATATTCTATGCATTCAGTTGGTTGTTGAACTCTCTTCGCACCTACAGTTCAGAAATAATGACTAAAATTTAAATTTTGTAAATATTAAAATTTTAAGTAATTCAATATCAATCCTGCTTTCAGGAAGATCGACAGTTAGAATTGATATTCATATTAATTCATTTTTGTATTGGTTGTTTGAATCTTTCCATTGGTGTTTAGGACTGCAAGTGGTCGGTCTCTTATCGGAATATGTGAGGGTTGCCTTAAGTTACAAACATTATAAGTGGAGTTGAATGGTAGCTAGCCCCCAAATGCCCTGGTACGGCCGAGAGTGGGGAGAGCCCACTCTCCCTCTCGAAATGCTCTCACATGGCCAGCGAATATATAGCCTCTGCCAGGGAAGTCCTACTCACTGCCTTCTCGTGGCGGGGGTGTTGTTTACGAAAATGAGAGGACGAAAAGCGAATGTCCGGCGCTTTAACCGGGTTGGTGGATGTGGAGGATCCACCTAGGAGAGTTGGAAAACCCTGATTCCAAATCTAAGGTGCACATGGGCTCCAGTATCCTGATGGAACGAATGGCGAATGAACCTGCTGTTGGTCACCGGCTACCATGGGACTGCATCTCCTCACGATGCCCCACTGCCTTGTGGATCAGATCTTTCGGTCAAAGGCTCCGGGTGTGGCCCCCTAAGAAAACCACCTGCTTCAGTTTGGGCACCTGAGCAGTATCACAGCCCTCAAGCAAATCGAAAGAGATTTGTATGGCACATATGTATTTGGTGTTTCCTTGTACCAATATTTATGTGTTTAAATAAAAATAAATAAATAATAGCTAGCAGTGGAATCCAGGGCGTGCGTTTCGTCCTATTTCAAACATTCAGATGACAAGTCCTAAATAGGACGAAACGCGCACACTGGATTCCACTGCTGGTCACCACCATCTCCGCTTATGATATACATATTGTACTACTACTTACTACAAAAGCATTTACAGTCGAGACTGTGTACATTTAGTACGGAAAAATGTTAAAATATCAAAACTACATTTAGGATTCACGTTAACCGCATAAAGAGACAATACCTATGGACCCATGGAGTATATGTTACAATTCAGTGAAGTAATACAGTAGACAAAAACACATGAGATTTAGTGATACCTAAACGATACAAAAAATGTCGAGTATGGTTTTATTTTTCTTTAGAACTCAAAGAACAAATCAATTAGTGTTCTAATAATTTCTTATTGTTATTCACTCTTCAACTGATATATGTTAATATAAACGAAGCCTACAATCAAAAACAAATGTATGTGCAGAGAACCGAAACATGAAGACAATTTACTACACAGACTGAATATAGCTCGGACGTCATTAAAAACAAGAGAGAATTGAAGATCTGTTTTGTCCTAGCATGGGGCCTCTCAATAGTGTGTACCTGTAACACCAATATGGATCAGAATCAAGTATTTCAATTTTTAGGTAGTTGTTACATACTTTTCATTAGTCTCATATAGAACAAAGTACCGAGTTGACGAAATCACTCATTACTACAATATTGTGCTATAAAAAATCAACAAATATGTGACAAGAAAAGAAGGTTTAAAGATGGGAATTAAAGCAAACATGAACAATATCAGGTAGTTGAAGATGATGTTTTACACTAATAATGTGAACATTTAAAGATATTAGACCTAAATATATGAATCGTCAAAGAATTACATTAGAAGCAATTCAAATGTTATGTGTACAAAACAGTTCACAACCAAGAAATTGAGCAATCATTTAGGCAATAGAACAGCAGAGACAAAAAATAATTGACCGAAAAAATATTCATTTCAATTGCATTATCGCAAGCATCCTTGTATTGTGGCCACTACTTGACGCGAAGCTACAATAAAAATGGAAAAAAAGTTAGTAGTGTATAAGGGTACTAACTCCATGTCATGGCAAAAAATAACATTACTTATTAAGGGAAAACCGATTCAAGATAATGGGAACATACAGGATATGATTGTATTTGATGAATTACAACAGAAGTTCAACAACCAAATAATAGATCACCAATTCAAAATTAATTATTATTAAAACACCATGATTGGTTGTTAGAATTCAGGGATAATGAGTTAATATGACTGATAAACAATATGCTTTGTGTGGTCACGCTTAGAATAGCTTAAAATTATGCAGACAGTAATGCTGATGAATAATTACTCTCATAAGAAAACTGTAACCAAATTATATTAATATACTTTAATAACTATTCTGCTAATTATCTGGCCAGTTAATCTACAGAGAATAAATTAAAGTCTTTGATCACAGCTTTTTGATAAAATGCTTCAGAGAATGGGTTCGTGTACGAAAAAGAGATTATCGTATTTTTCCGAGAAATACAGATAATGGACAAACAGTGAGTTAAAAATACAGAAACTACAAATAAATACGAGATTTTAAAGTTGAATAAGAACTTACAACCAGAGTTTCGATGTTCACAAAGCCATATTCCTTGCCAAGTACCTAAGGCTAACTGACCATTTGTAATAGGTATGGTAATACTCGGTCCACCAAGTAATGCTTGTTTTGCATGTGCAGGCTTAAACAGAATTTAAAGTTGGAAAACAAATATACATATTGTTAAGCTGAAAGTTACATGTAGTAAGAGATTATTATTAAAGAAAATGAAAATATGTTGAAAAAATACATTTGATATGGAGCAAGTAGGTAATACGTACATAAGGATCGTAAGAAATACTAAAATGTGAATTTTATCCAAGAAAACTGACAAGAATGAGTTATGACGGTACAGATAACTGACCAAACAATAAAGTAATTGAAGTGGTTCTACAGACAATTTATTTACTGAGCTGGTACCCAAACTTTAGATCACAAAGAGCAAAATCAGTGGTTGTCCAATTGAATCAGTAAGATAATGTAATTAAAGCTGACATTAAGATGATATAAATCCACCCAAGACAATATAACCAATTACATACTTATTCATTAGGTAGCTAATGATTAATCAAGCTGATACAGTGGGCCAGGTAAACATCAGTCACATGCTAAGTTCACACGATATGGCGTATTTTCCTAAGAAATGGGACATTCCATTGATGTGGCTTCAATTTCTATGGAAGATATATATATATATATATATGCAGTTATCAAGAGATTTCACTTTCAATCTTCTCACTCAATTAGCCGATTAGGGTCTCAAATAGGAAGCATATTATTCACTGTCAGAGCTAAACACTATACAATATAACAGAGTTACAAAATGATCAGTAGTTTATCCCTTCTCTATAATTTTTACTAACAACGGAAACTAACCCACAATGTCGTAATGATACAAAAGTAGGTCAGTCGTACACTACAGTCACATGACTGACTTGTAGAAGGTGTTAAAATTAATTATCCAAACGAACTTTACATCAAGATTTTAAGTTGCAATCGATAAACATAATTCAATCATCTATTTAAGTTACGAAATTTTCAGCACATCAATATATCAATAGAATTAAATCGAGGTATTAAGAACAATCATAAATGTTGTACATTATTGAAGTGAATATGAACTCACCATGTCATCAGCACCTTCACAAGTGTGTTTGTATTTAAGTGACTACGATAAATACAAAAATAAAAAATAATGATTTACTAATAAAAAATAAACATTTAGACAGAAATAAAATTAAAGCACAATTGTTTCCAGAAGAAGAGGCTTTTACAAATGTTTAATTTGGATTACATATGATCAACCTCCGTTGGGATCTGTGCACCCTGAGTGAAGCCCACAATATCGCTCTGAGTTAAAGAATTTACTATATTGTAGCTATCAGCAAAGTTTAGAAAACCCGTTTTGTTCTAAATGTTAAATACATAAATGGAATTATTGACTGAAATTTTAGAAAGTTTTTAGTGAATTTATTTATTTATAGCTTCGTAAACTTTAGGAATCTGAATCTTCCTTCCGTGAAATAAATATTTATATGGACACAAAGTGCAATTTATTCGATGTCAAGATCAAGTAGAAGGCTTACAAGCTAAATATGATAAATTTATATAAATCCTAGTTGCGATAGATTCATTGCACATGACACCAAAAGTCTAGAGCTGTACATATTTAACTAAATAGGTCGTTTGTAACGCATTAGAAACAATAATAAGACATGTATTATACGAAATGTCAATGGTCTGCAAAGAAAATGGAACAAATATTATTAAACACAATTTGAAAGGGAAAACGATATTTCTTAGGAAAATAGACTTTTAATCAGTAATGTCCACACACGATAGGTGAGATGAGAACAAGATAGTCAACAATGAGAATGAAACATACCTCAGGTACAAGATGATTTAGAACCATTTCCATATCGGTTCTGAAAAATCAATGGTAAAATAAAGTAAATTTCTTATCAAAAATTAATATAACCCACTATCCAAAATTTATAGAAATGAGGATTAAACTTTTTAGGCAGAAATATTTCATTATTAGAATGTGAACAAGATGTTTTCAACGCGGTGGTCGATTCGTTTAAATGTCCAACATTAAACAACTAAATCAAGGATGAAAATTCCACAATGTCTACAACAGTTTGGGAGTACAGATAACAGTACTGATAGTAATATTAATGACTTTTATATGATTGTTATAAATGGTCAAGTGCTTGAACTTATGCATGACTAACAAAATGGATGACCGACATTTCTTTTTTAAGTCAATAAAGAAATCGACACATTCGTTTATCAATGTATCAGAAAGAAAAATCGGCCACTAGCATTTTTTTACATAAGAAAGTCCCGTTTCTTAGCTTTCATCCTTAAAATAAACATCTAAGTTTGAATAAAATGACAACAGAAATCGTCCAATATAATCCAGCTTTTTATAATCTATACAATTAAAGACATATCAAGAACTTTAACTGAAACAAAGAATTCATTACATCTAACAAAGTATCTGACCTACGCAAAATATACGTTATCGTAAACTTCCATCCATCTATTTATCTTAGTTCTGTGAATCATCAGTTTTTGAGAGATGAGACATTTATCCCCATATCTTGGAGAAAAATTCCAGAATGTTGACTTAAGAGAAATTTCTTAGATCGCTCTTTTATACAATTGGTCCAATTTTTGATTTGTTAATATTCAGAAATCAAAGTTGGAGAATTGATGTGTGGGCGAGAATGATAATGATTGGTTGTCTCGATGAGTCAGACATTAGACAGGATGACAGGTGTTATGTGTTATATATATTCCCCTGTCCTTATTATGTATTGACTGTTCCTTGTTGATGGACACTTATTGATTGACTGTTCTTTGTGTCGGATTTTCGTGTGGAAATATATTGACGTTATAGTCAGGCTAATCTTGTGTTCTTGATCTGAGTTCTGTTGAAGTCCTGTAGAATAGACACTGGGTGGGAATCTAGTGTAGATATTCGTTTAAGATAAATTAACGTCCCACATACGTGTAAGAAGTAAAAGGACTGTTATAACAAGAACCCCTACTGTTATAACCAGCATCCTCTCCTTTACGTTTATAACAATTAGCGACGGCATACCTACGTTTATAACAAGAATGAGTAACAGAAGTAAAACCTTTGGTATCCGTTATCAACTTCATGAATGAGGATGATGATGAAACATAAATCTCTAACTAATTTCGTATGCTACACTTAATCTAACCATATCGTGCAATTGTGGTAATACAAACCGAATGCGAAATGTGCTAGAAGAATTTGAGGCACTCGAATGCAAACGGACAGATGGTAAGAATGAGTAGATGAAGCTTGGGGGTAGGCTTTACTCCAACTTTATGAAATAAATTTGTATCTAAGCTTATTTATGAAAACAGATAAGGAGTAATGTAGGCGAACAGAGATAAACAAGCATTCACATATAAAAAATGGACATAAGTGAAAGGTTAGGATTATTAGTAAATGAATGAATACTATATAGCCAATAATGTTACAATGAAGTATGTGAAGATCAGATAAGGTCAAACAATAGTTTGTATAATTTTGTCATATTAATTCCCGTTACAATCCAATTGTAAATAGGTTACTACAAACCTTATTATGAATACCTGAAAAAATGTCAAGTATAACTTACGTAACAGATGGATCCCAACTCTGTTAGTTAATGAGAAAGATAATAAAAAAATGTTAGGGGTATATATATATATATATGATAATATCATGAACACCCCTATTCTTTTTCGGAACTTTTGTGAACACTAAAATAATCAGGAATAACTGGATACATTTAGACACTGGTTTATCAAGAAGATTGAGTGAACAGAGCAAGACCCTATTTTTCATGACCGGTATTCCCAAAAAGACTATTCTGCAGTACAGAAAATAAGAATGACCAATAAATGGGGACAACTGTTCTTCGAAACATCTACATCCACCTTGACAGGACTCATCGCCTATCGGTATTGAAGTGACTGTGTTTTTTCAACTTTGAGGTAAGTGGTATCGTTAATGAAACAGTAATCAATATAGTATTATGCTCCTGTTTTCCGATTTCGAAGTTATGAGAGACTGACAAAATCCATGTTAGAAAAAGAGATATATTGAACAGCAGTTGTTTTTTCTTCATTACTCTCACTATAGATTATTGAATAGAAAGAAAGTTGGTAGTTGAGGTCATATATCTTCGCATACTGAGATGCTTAGGACATGGTGCGTTGCACATGTGACAACCGTTTACTCTGACATTTAGTAGAAGAGATAAGTTGTAAAAAAGCTAGAGGTGGGAAGATCAATACATGGAATAATTTCATGAGTTCACTGACTGATGTTATAAGGCCTGTCAATAAGTGAAGTCTTGCTAACTGGAGGTCGCAAAAGACTCGTAATCAACGGTTGTAGACAATAAGTGATAAAGTGCAAAACTGGTCACACTTGTGCTCGTTCTCAATTTTTCTCTAAAAATTGTGGGTTAAGTATTATTCGCAACTCTCTATTCTTCGATCTCGTCTGTTCATTTAAGATTATATTTCTCATATCTAGTTAATTTCTGCAGTTGAGTTTAAGAAGATGAACAAATGGGAAACTTCTTCCATTATTGAGTGAGGAAATATGTCAATGAGATGAAGGGAGAATATTTGCAGTTCAAGAAGAGGGTTTATGAGGTGTTTTGCTTCTGAGCTGGATGACGTAATCGTAAAGGTTCATTGTCATCAGTAGCAAGTGATAAAAACTAATTACAGATCAAATAACCATATATTGGTAGTGGATAATATCTCTGAACAATTAACTATACCCTATAATATCACATTAACGTACTTCATTAATTGTTAGAGTAGCCGATGTATGCTGAACTGTCAGAAATGGAAAAAAACATAAAATAGTGAAAGCGGAAAATTAGGACAATAATAAAAAGAATTTATGAGGAGGACATACAAACTGAAAGTTTTAAATCTCAGAAGCGTTGGCTTAAAGACTTAATGAATTAACTTCTCATCCAAGATCCACAAAACACGTTTTTAAAATACATTGTCTAAACAATAAATACGCGGACAGAGGTTTTCAATACATTTCTACGAACATGTGGGAATATTGATCTTATCTCGTTCAAAATATTTATTATATGGTTTCCACTTCCAAGTCTAATGCAAAGGGAAGATGATTTAGTGTGTTAACTGGATTGCCCTAAATAGTATAAAGTAAAGTTTCCGTTTTTATTGTAAAGACCATGTGTATCTGTCTAAAAATGCCTCCATTAAAACACCGAAATAGTAGGTAAAGGAGAAGAATATTAACAAATCAACGAGTGAATTATTTGACAGCACAACGAAAAACCATATATCCAACTATCGGACAACTTTACACATTTTGATCAATTGAATAATGTAACTATGCATAAACTTCAGTATTAAGAAGGTTTGATATTAGTCAGATAGTCATAAGTAAATGTAAGAACATGACAAGTGTGTATAAATATAAGTTGCTACACAACAGTGAGATGGCAGTACGAAAATAAATATTGGAGTTGAAGCACCAGTTATGGTAAACACGATTTAAAACAGAGAATATGATTCAGGTAGAAGGAATTTGCTGAATAAAGGGTGTAGAATATTCTAGAAACTCGTGATCTAGAGGTAAAATAACAGTGAATGAATATATGTCACTGTAACCGATTCTTCAACACGTCACCCACCTCGAGCCACTGATTATTCGTAGTTCGAATAAATCAAGTCAATAACATTGCAGATCGATTTCATGTCTTAGTTTAAATGCCCTACCTTCCGGCTAGCCCACTCCTTTTTCGGTCAGTGTTGTGCATCGAGGTATTTAGTGTTAAGTATTTAACGTGTGTAACACATTTCACAATCACATCAGTCATGAAACAATCACAGCCTCATAAACTAATTTGCCATCTTCGTCTAGTATCATACATTTAACCTCAGCGTTCCACGAAATACAGATTATCAAACATCAGCAACTTTTGAATGTCCTATACTTTTATTGGCTACACTGCAAAGTTGTACAGTAAAATTGAGCAAACTGCTGCGCAGCACACTCGTCCTTTGATTAGAGGACGACTTTCTAATCTATCACGGAGGTGACGCAAGTTGACAAACCCACTATAGACTTATGAATCCGTGCCGAGATTTTGTCGGCCACCAACACGCCAGGGCTGATGGGAATTCCAAGATGAGTAGTCGACAGGCTTAAATACTACACCTCCTATCAAACACTAGAATATAATGTAAGGCGGTTTTGAAACATCTTGCATTTAGAGGGCAAGAAATGTAATCCAGACATGCACAAAATAATTAGAGGACTGCATTCTATCAGAGTTTTCGACAAACAGGATGATATTATATGCGTGTTCTAAGTCAACAGGTGAATTTCATGGTCAGTAATCTACAACATAGGATCAGGCACAAATATGCATCGAAACAAGTTGACACATCTCATTAACACAGCAAGAACACCAAATTCATAGATGTAGTTACTTCAAGGATAGTAATATATAAAAAAAGATTGCATACAAGTATACGGTACAAGAAGAAAGAATTAGTTCGTAGAAAGAAAGGTATAAAATAATTTTAATTTCACGGTTTAAGGGGAGACAAAGTCTGTGTATACCTACACCATTGTGATCGATTGTGAGCCATCTCGCCCAAAGTCTCTAGCCATCGGTTGCGACAGTCACGCGGACCCCAACCAAGTGGTCTGCATCTACCAACATGGCTCAGACCAGAGGTTAGTGACTTTACGGACTGGTGCTATGTATTGGTCTGGCCGCCCCTAACTCTCTTCCAACCATCCCCTATACTAGTCAGCATTGCGCGTCGTGGTAATCGGTGTTCAGACATACATGACACGTGGCCAAACCATCTCAGTCAACGAGGCTTCACAACCTAATCAACTGATTTACCATCATCCCCTAACGCTCCGCATCTAACCTCACTACTACTTACCTGGTGATCCCAGTAGATCCGAATAATATTTCTAAGACATCTGTGATCAAATGCTAAAAACATAAGACTATCTCCTACTCTTAATGGGCACGTTCCACAGCTGTAAAGTAGAACAGAGCGAACTGCTGCGCAGTATACTCGTACTTTTTTCAGTAGAAGGATATCTCGCCTTCGCCATAGGTGGCGCAAGTTGACGAAAGCCGGACGAGCTTTTTGAATCCGTGCTGAGATTTCGTGCGATACCAACCCATTAGGCCTGGTCAGACTTCCAAGACAAGTCAATGACAGACAATACGACAGAGCCTCTCGGTCTACAGAGTCAAATGCTGCTTTTAAGTCAAGAAAAACTATCATTGTCGGATGCTGATAGACATGCTTGTGTTCTAAGATCTGACGAATGGTGAATCCGTAATCGATGTAGCCACGACCAGGTCTCAAGCCAGCCTGATTTCCTTGTGTTTGCAGTTCACAAATCTTTGTTAGGTGCCCGATAATTATTGAGGCTAGTATTTTAAATGCTATATTAGTTAAACTAATTCCTCTATGGTTATCACAGGATGACTTTGACCCCTTCTTATATATTGGGACAATCAGTGATTGGGACCAGTCAGATGGGATTACGTCCAACTCCCAGATTTGAGCTAAAATATCAGTTAACCTAATCGCTAAAACTGGACCACCATCCTTAAAGATCTCTGAAGTCAATCCATCTGGACCAGTTGCTCTTCATCGTTTCAGATTAGCTATAACTGTTTAAATTCGAATTAGAGTCGGCGGGCTTATTTCAATGTTCCACTCAGGCTGTTTGGAGATGGTGGGTAGCCGAAGGTCAAATGAACTGCGCCTTAAAGAGTTCCGCCCATCGTTTTAAACGTCTGGGCTGGGAGCGGATAAGAGCCTCGTCTTTTTTCGAGATTGTCTCACTTACACTTGACTTCTCAATTCCGGTTTCTTTTATTAGTCTGAAGAGTTGTCTGGTGTTACCTGCGGCCGCTGCCTTTTGTCACTTTTGCATTCGTTGCCCATTTCTCACGAACGTTCCATAGACTTTTGGATAGCCTAGACCTGATTTGCTTTCGCTCTTTATCATGTTTGGAGCCTGATGGGATGAGTTTACGAGAGTCTATCAGTGTAATAGACTGAAAAAAAAATCCATTGGTTTTTTGTAACCCTTTGGTTTGAATAACTAATAGATGGCACTGCTATTTCCACAGCTGTTCAAATATCTTTCCAAGTAACATCTGGGTCAGTCTTGTTTTCAGAATCGCCCAAGTGTGACTCTGTTTGCTCTTTAAATTTACCTTCGCCCTTCTCATCGCTGAGTTCACTTCTAATGGGTCTTCTTAATGTGGTTTTTCTGCACCTAGTGAGGCGCAAGAAAATGCGTGTTCGTATTAGACAATGGTCAGGGTTTAAACATGTATTCCAGAACAAGCGGCAGTCTTCTTCATGGTAGGAAGTCAATCCCTGAAAAGTCATGTGATGAAAGCGTTATCTCTAAGGGATGTCGATAACAAAGTTGAAAAGTGATGAAAGCCGCTTAGTGGTACCAATTCTGATGACACATCACCATAAGTTCTGATAGTGAACGAGTAAAGAGCCTTTATAATTTTAATCTACTTATTCGGTACTTATCTCAATAAAAGACATAATTACTCCCTTGCACTGACAAGTATGTAGGTGGTGGATAGCAACTATTTTATTTGGTGTGGGTTCAACTATTAAAAATTGACTCTGTATATATAGGTATGATTGTTTGATTTTCTTCACTGATTGTCCATTTCCTTTCACTCATTAACATTTTCCTATTAATAAACTTTCGCATCCTCAGTTTACACTCTTACGAAAAAGTGAGTAATCATCAGTGTTTGAGAACTAAAACCCAACGACCTAAAAATGTATAATGACAAGTATTTAGCAATTCCGTATGAATGGTCGGCAAAAATACAACGAAAAACAGTCTGAAGCGCTTGAGTTTAGTATACAATTTTGTAAGCTATGTTAACGTGTACTTACTAAAAAGATGTAAAATACCCATTTGTAGTTGTCCAATTTCTGGCAAAGCTTTTCTAATCTCATCTGTAACATAATGACATCCACGTGATCGCTTTTTCAAAGTGATAGTTCGCTGAAACCAATAACTGCCACTTGCAGAAGTCATTATCTATGTGTAGAATATAAATAGACATGAAACTATTGTTGACGAATAGTTATATATCTATAATGTTTATGGTCAAGGCAAAATAGTAACCTATATGGGATCTTTGTTACAATAAAATAGTGGCATTGTATGTTATTGATTTGAGTATACCGCCGATGTGTTTTAATGATCTAAAGATGCTAGTTCCTCGTACATGAACTATTTGGCGTGATGGTAAATTGTTTTGTCGCCAATCAAACGATTACGTTTTCTCACACTAAACTATTTATTTAAACACATAGATATTGGTACAAGGAAGTACCAGATACATATGCGCCGCACAAATCTCACACTAAACTAGTAAAAATAAAAGGAAGTGGTCCGATAAACAGTTTATTAATGACATTTCTCTTGTTCGGAAAGATATTACTCCAGCTCAAAACAATTTTAAGTAACTAGAGGATCTTAAGACAAGTTTGGTTATGCAGCTGAGAAACTAATACCGAAAAATATGGATACTCTTAAACCATACAAACTATAAAATTTTATTGTTTAATTTGTCAAAGCTCTGATAAGGAAGTGAATACCTTTCCTGGATAAGCAAAGACGGATATCATTTATGTGTTATGGTAATTATTTAGTAGCCTTATTCCTTAAAATACACCGAAGTTAAAATGATACGAATAATTAGAAACACAAACACATTTTTTCATCAACACTCATGACAGCATATTTCTACAGAAAATAAAATCTGTTTCAATTAAATAAATTTTGAAAACATCTCATAGAAACAGGTTTTATAAAACAACAATTAGATGTATTTACAACAGAGTAGGGAAAATAAAGGCTACAATACAAGAGAGACTATTTAGAGAGGAGGAAAAGTCATCATAAGCATTAAAAAAGTTAACAAAATTACCTGGTTGTATAGTAATGTATACAAAAACAAGCATGGAATAAGGTAAAAAGGTGGATAAAAAAGTAATAATATCTTAATAAAATAGTTTAGTGAAAACGATTCATTCATTAAAAATAATTTACAACACCTAAACGATCTTTTAATGTTTTAGGTGTACGGAATTTTTCAATTATTCGTGAAACACTATGATCGGTAATTATATCATCTCTGTCAGTTGAACAAGAAGAACAACTAGAGAAGATTGATGGTGATAAAAGATTGGAATGTGGGAATTTTTTTTCAGATACAAAAGAATTGGATAAAAGCGAAGTTTGCAATTGTAAACACGGATTATTAAATAAATTAGACAATGAAGATGAGCGTTTGCTCAAGTTGGAAAATGTAGATTTCAATTCACTACTCGATGGAGATGAAAGTGTGAATACAGCGGAGAGAGATGGTGGTGGCGATTCACGAACAATGTGATTGTACACTTCACTATCACTATTATAACCATTATTCATTTCGGAAATGATAGATTCAGGCAACATTTCCTTGTGATTTCTGTTTACATCATTATTGTAATCACTAGTAGCAGCAAACATACAGAATATTTGGGAGGAAAAAAAGTGAAGAGTAGTTAATGCAACTGAAAGAAATGAATTAAAAACAGCGAAAGCTGACTCACACGTGGCCTATAAAAATAGATATTCGTAGGTTACTAGTATTCCATCATAGGTGTCTTTGTTCGTGTATTTTGGGACCACTGCATTATCAAATCTGAGGTAAGATGAAGAGTACTAAATAAGATTGCAAATCGATAGACGAAATAGTAAATCGTTATCGGCTGAGATATTTAGGACATGTATTACGTATGTCTATTCACCAATTACCTTAACGAGCAATGACGAATGATACAGGAGCAAGTTGAAAGAAAGCTAGGACCAGTCAAATCAAGACGTAACATTAGTCCATGAAGACGCTTAATAATCGGCTAAGCCACGTAGGTAGGTGTAGACTACCTGGAGGAGGTCCGCATGAACATTATAACGGGTAGTTAAAGACTTTGAATGACATGGTTCAAAATCGTTTCAAACGGTGAAGGTGAATACACTTTTCATCACTCTTTAGATTCTAGGTTTCTAAATTCTTTACGAAAACCCTTTTATTTCACTAATTCATATTTTCTTCAGTTGTATCTTCCATTCCTGATCATTTCTACTACCACTAATATTGTTACTAACTCTGTGACTAAGGGACTCGTCCTAACAATTTTATCTCAATATACTAATGGGGTATGGGAGCTTGAACCGATGTACAGGTGTCGGGTTCTACGTTGCGTTTGACTGACCGACTGTTTAAATGACCAACCACGTACAGATCCGTATACTTAGCTTTGAGCTACACTCTACATTTTAAGGCTAGTGACACTTCTCAGTTGTTCAAGCTAAAGTAGATGGAATAAGGGTTTGGATATGTGACATAGTTAAAAGTCGAATATCTTAGTCACTAAGTCATCACTTCACAATACATACATTCATCTGAGGCTATACTACAACAGGTAGTTCCGAATTTCCACGTCAGATGACTAAGTTAAAAGGTATAGAGGCCCCCAAGCGGTACTGAAACTAACTTACAGGTTATGAATAATTAGGTGTGTTTTAAGCGATTATTTAACATTCCGAATATAAACACGTTTACAAGAGCATAGCTCAACATATCAGGAACAGGAGTAATTGTATAACAGCAACACATTAGACGAAATCGATTTAATTTTTTACCAGTTTTAACGAAATGCAAAGATAGTGAGAGACGAGTGATATGGTACCAATCAGTCACAATGATATAAATGTCATTCTACGAATCCTGATCGTAGTGTTATTCAGTCCTTTTCAATCATATTCCTGATGTTTTACTTTTCACGACATGGATAGAATTGTTCTCCTTCCCTACTTTTCATCTACATTTCTTCGATCGCTATGATGTTATGAAGTATGGAACCCGTATTGATAGCACATTCATGTTAAGTTATATTTCCTGTATGTGTGACTTATGAAACATTTGAAATAGCTATAATCAAATAGTGATAGTATCGCTCAAAGTGTGGTTCACGGTATTTATTGTTTGATAAGTGATTCCCAATATAGCACAAACACTACTTAGGGAGTCTGTCTCTCGTCATTGAGTTTTATATGCCAGTTTCACAATCAATATCAACCCCAGTCAGGGTTCAGCACTTCAAAAATCATTCATGAGACACATATCAATAACTATACCGATTGATTTATCTTCACTAATCAAAAATTTGCACTGATTAGTCCAATCACGGAACACAAAAGAGGAATCGATAACCGGACTGAAGAAATCTCTTATTCTCTATAATTAACACTTTACATTGACAGCTGTTAAGTAGAACGGATTATAGCTCTATAGTACGGTGGATACATATATCTTTTCAACGAATATACACGTATGCTAATATATATGTTTTTCTAATGTGAGAAAATGAATTGATTTCTAAATAACATATCGAAAACCCTCTGAACTTACACATATTCATTTTCATCAATGCTTGAATTGTCTGACTCCCACACCGGATGTTTAACGAGATTAGTAAGCGAAGTCAAAATATCAGGACTTTTGTCTTTTTCTGATTCACTCTTATTTACTTTTTTAGTTGATATACTTAAACCTTTGAATGCCTCATCTATCACAAGTTGATTTTTGTCAATTTTAGACAACTTCGATTTTGTTTTTTTCTTTCCAATTGAAATTTGACAAGTGGAATTTTCAAACAGAGAACAAATTTCACTATGAACTCTACGAAATTCTACTTGTGGTACAGAAAAATAATAATTACAATTATCAAAAATATTCATATTCTGAACATTTTCATCATTGGGATGCAGAATATTTTTCTGTTCGGACCATTTATCAAATCCTAGATATAAATAAAAATGAGAAAGTAGGTGTGAGCAAGAAAAACTAGAAATACAATAAAAGTTTGATTATTTGTTTTTCTATTTATTTATCTGTAATCTTAGAATTTCTATTTTATCCAGAATACCTGTACATTATTCAGTAGAACTGAGTTAAACTAAGTTAGTTTAAGAATTATACGCAGATAAAAAAGTAATATGTCACTGACATCCGTCTATAGATAACAGATAAAACTACACTGAACATATGAACATCCACTAAAATAAGTTGACAAATCGCAACTTACCCAATCTTTCCCACTCGACTTCGTAAGAGTCTACATAATTAACTATGCGTTTCTTTACTATCCTATAAGGAAAAAAAGTATACTTAGGTTAAAATGCAGGAGAAATAATGTACAAGACTAATTAAATTAAGAACTGAGTACGAGTGGTTAGTGAGATAAATTATTAGAGATCCAAGTCAATCAATCACTAAAACTTATCAACAGTCTCTTATTTAAAATGTAACCAGATTTGTTAAGAAAGTGACCAATACTTGTGTTTTTCACTTGCAGCTTAAATATATTTTAAAATATTTATTGGAGTAAAGCTTTTATGTAGTCAACCCGAGTCACCATAGGTTCCTACCATGAACGTTCATTGATCCAGGTTTCCTCATCTAACATCACAACAAAACAGGAAAATAACAAGGTAAATACCAAAGGAGTCAATATAATCTTAGTAGCAATGATTAAATATTGAATATGGTTACAGGAGTAATGAAGAAGTATGCATGAAGGAATTCTGAAACTTGTGATCTATAAGATAATCATTGAATCTAAATGCACTACTAAGACCGATTTGGAGATATGTTACTCAATATCTTCAACCACTGATCTCAGTCATCCCGCAGATTACAACTGGTTAGTTTGAATCTACCGACATGGCTCAGTCCAACAGTCAGTGATCTTTATAGACTGATAACAGGACTTAGTCTGGTTATCTTTATTTTTCGTCTATTGTTATACCAACCAACATTATTCGTCGAGGGAGTTGGTGGTTAGACACAGATAATAAATCTCCTCGTCACTTCTGTTGAGACTTTGACCCCGGCTAGTTACCACGTGATTTGTTCGCCAATCGAAATACGACTTATTCAATCTCAGTACTGTGCCAAATCAATGAAGTTCAACCAGTATGAGCAGCCTAGCGTCCTTATTGGTCCTTTGTACGACTAGCCCGTTAAGTTGAGTCCAGAACACCAATGACAGCTCCCACTATGCGAATCGTTTGTTTCAAACATAGTTGGTTTATATACCAATCAAACGGACCGCATCACACCATAAAATAGGAAATAACATTTATACAAGATCAAGCCAAAAAGTGGCTGTGGTATACTGTAATCAATAAACTGAACATAACTTAAGAACAGTAAATCGTACAATAATAATAATATTCTAAAGGTCAAAATGAAGCTTATAATAAAAGAAATATGGATATACATAATCTAGTTACTGAACAGTTATACAATAGGAATATATATATATATATATAATAGTCCATTAGTAGTTCTCAGAAGTTATCTGTAATTTAATCTTTACTAGGATATAACAACTTTAGCTGACGAACATCCACAACCTCATCAACCGATTTGCCAGAAGCCTACCTGTAACTTTACCCTTGCTAACCGGGTGGTCCCGAAATACACGACCTTCTACATTTAAGTGACACGTTTCATAGCCACAAAATGAAACAGAGAGATACCGCCCATCATACTTCCCGCCTTTTTATCAGAGGACGCAATAGGTGACACGTTAGTAAATCTTAGGCGAGCTTTCTGAAATCGTACTGACGTATTGGGGAAACATACAAGATAAGTGATCGAAATCTCCCCAGTAATTTAAAATTACATGGCGCTTGAAGATCGGAGAGTGGGTAAAATTAATCAGCTTCACTCAGTAGTATTTCACGAGGTTAATATTTTAAATGACATGGTCAAAATGCTTCCGAACACGAAACAATAATGCGATCTTATGATCCGGAGATCCAATTACCATTTTAGTGGTGCATCAATCTAATGAAATAAGTCAAGAGTAAAACAGTTACTGTGACATTTATGGAATATTAACTAGATATACTGCTCATGAGTAACGCTAATTTTATTGTGAATGTTTTAGCTAGAGGCTATTTACTTGTTAAAGACTAATATATTTAATGTTTATCCCAGAGGGCAATCTTGATAACTTCTTCTCTTGTTCATGTTCAACGTCAATTATATGTTCTTGGCTTCCTTATCTTGGATTTCAATTAGCAATTTAAACGAATTTTATCGAAGTAAATATCAACATATGGAGACATACAACTGAATGTTACAAGAAGCTACGAAAATCTTATGACTTTATTCAACTATGGTGTGTGTATATATTCAACTGATAAGTATCCTTTATTCTACTTAAGAGCTGTGGTGTCGATTGGCAGTTAACTAGTTGTTGGTCAATAAAAGTAATTAATCCCAAACTATATATTACCCAAAGATAATTAGACTGAGGTTTGAATGTGACTAATGGGTTGAAAAATTGAACACAATAGTTCTATGAAGATTAAATTTCAAGACCTTCAGTATCATATATCCAAATTCTACAGGTAACTGAAAACCAACAATAAATTAAGCATAAATGAATAATTGATTAAACTGTTTAAGTATACCTCAAGGGTTTTAAAATAACAGAATCATCAATTTGATAATCAATCAACGACTTGATACATGATGGTGAATTATAAATTTGAGGATGTCTTAAATCCCATAACGCCATAACTGGTAAAAAATGTTGAAGAGTATAGGCTGGATCCCAATTTAAATGAATTTGACAAAAAGATACAGCTTTTCTTGGATCTGGTCGTTTCCACTGAGAAATAGATTCCTGTTTGGGTAAGACCCAATTACGATCTTTAAAACTAGTTAAGAATTCTGCAAATATCTAGAACAAAATTAAATAAATAAAACTGGGTATTCAATAGAGTATTTAATTAACATTATAGGATTTTCGAGGATCACGTATTACATATGCTCATGTATTAAATTTGAACTGTTTCAACTAATGGATGTATATTTGGAATTCACTGGTGGATAAAACAAGGACACAGAGTAAATGTATTATCGTATATAGCGCGGACAGTACATTTTAGATGTATGAACCATAACTACACATGAATTTAAACATTTACAAAACATACATGCGTAGATGAAATATCATCCAGTTGGAAAATATTATATATTGGGTTTTCATTAATCAAGATTTAAATATCTGGTATCTAACAATAGGTATAAAATGGTCAAACAGATTTCTGTAATCAGTTTGTCCACATTTGTTGACCCGGTGATTAGGTGAAGTAAAGAACGCATAAAAACGGTGGTAAAGACTGTAATTATCACTTTAAAAAGACAACCCACTTTCATCAATTTGCTATTTCATACTTCAAATTACTCTACTGTGATAAGTGAGTCGTTATACTTAGCCTCGTAGTTTTTAATGACGCTCATTATATATATATATATATATATATATATATATATATATATATATATATATATATATATATATTATATATATATATCGAATAATTGAACATGGAGCAGCTTTGTTCTATATTGCCTGGTTTAATTATAATTAAAACAGAATGAAAACAAGATACACGAGTTTATATCGGAAGCTGAGATTTATAGTTTTAAGAATCAAATGTTGACGCAATGAAGAGAGAAAAAAGAGGATTACACACAGACATATTTTGAGTTAGTTTATTCAGTAAATCGGTAGTTCAAATGGTCAACTATTAGCATTAAATAACTCTCATTAACAGATTCGGTTTTTATGGGACTGGTAGTATTTTAACTTTGAACACAAATAATAATAAAACTTAGTTTCTGGAAGACATCAACGAAAAACATCTACGACTACTTAGTTGGCGGTCTAGGCGGCTTTAGATTACATGGTTAAGGTCCACGTGATCAGTATAACTGGTAGTTGGAGACTTTGAATGACATGGTTCAAAATCGTTTCAAACGGTGAAGGTGAATACACTTTTCATCACTCTTTAGATTCTAGGTTTCTAAATTCTTTACGAAAACCCTTTTATTTCACTAATTCATATTTTTTTCAGTCGTATCTTCCATTCCTGATCATTTCTACTACCACTAATATTGTTACTAACTCTGTGACTAAGGGACTCGTCCTAACAATTTTATCTCAATATACTAATGGGGTATGGGAGCTTGAACCGATGTACAGGTGTGTCGGGTTCGACTGGCTTAGCTGTCTATTACAGCTCTCCTTAGGAACATGAATTTTTCAGTCCAAAACAGTAAATACAAACTTAATGAAACCCTAATTTCCCAGAACTTATTTGAAACTTGTTGGGGATGTTAGATCCGCAGAACTTACTTGGTAAATACCTTATTTTTGTAATCCTATTTCGAAAATTTGAATCTCTTGTTTTTGCATCAAAAGCGCTCATTTTTACCTTTATTTCGTATTTCCCACTTGAGAGGATCTTAAACGCTATTGGTTCGTTGTATCTTTTAGTATGCTATTTTATAACGCCTCCCAAGGACATTTTTATTCTGTATATATACGCTTGAGTAGTGCATGTTGTTATTGTTCGTGCTTCTGGCTGATTGTGGAATATATTTTCCTCTTCCAAACTTGGACTTCTCTTTCTAGTTAGCGGGCCTGGGACGCTTCAAAATAACAAGCCTATCTGTCATTGTGTCACAGAGTCTTCGTTCCGTTCTCAGACTATGTGAATTCTTAATCTCTTCAAACATAGTGAAACTTTGATCATTTATTTGTTGTTGGGACCATCCTATATTTATCAGGTTGTGAATCTTTGTCGAAGACCTGTTCGACGTACGATAAGTCACTGCCTACCCCCAAAGTAAGAACTAGCGGTATTGGAAAAGTAAACCAAAAATATAAGTAGAATAAAAAAGAGATAGGGTTTATATTAAAGTTCGAGTCGGAGATAAAGGGTGAATGTATTCACGCCAATTGTCAACGATGTTGAGACGTGACACTTTAGGTCTTCTACCATAGATTAAGATTATTTCAACAACTTCAACCAAGAAGTCTGTGCATTTTGATGACTAAAAACTAATGCCTTTAAGGCCTAATAAACAATGGCATAATTGGTTAGATTCCTTATTTCCAGTAACTTACTTCTTCGTAAGGACAATTCTTTAATTCTACGCCAACACGCAGCCACATTTTTATAACACTTGGACATACACGAAGACCAAATGGATTGAGATTGAAATCTTCGCAATTTTGTGGACAAGTACTTGTTAGCCAAGACAAAAATTTAATGAGGAAATGCTCATCCACATGCAGACTTGGAGATTTCAAGGATGAAATCAAACGTAAAGCTCCAACTGGACCTAAACGAGAGACACCACTTGCCCAATAATCGCAACCCAACAAAATACCAAGTAGAACTAAGTCACATTTTGTCAAATTCAGTACGTCACGTATACGATGCATGTGAAAAACACAAACACTGGAGTCCTGAAAAAGAGAAATGAAAGCGTGATGACATTTAGAATAATATCCATAAAATAAAACAGTGTATTTCCAGTAACTACTTAAGGGTTGGTTTATCGCACTATTTGTAAAATTAACCGGTACTGATTGACTGTTCTAATTTCGGTATACAAAGCATGGTCGAACTTTTGTTAAACATGAATTTACAGCTCATTTCATCAAAGCCACTTATTTTTAAGAAATGTCAATTGAAACTGGAAAATTCGTAAAAAAATTAGTAGACTCAATAGCTCTAGACTCAAAATGAAACTTAGACTAACAAAGGGAAGAAAGTACTTTAACTTTCTGAACAGACTAATAAGTATGATGAAAAAGCATTATCATCGAGAGTATAAGATAAGAACATAATTAATGAGAATAAAAATCCAAACTTAATTGAAGATTACAAATCCTGTGATAAAAAGCAAGTATTGGTATAATATTCACACTAAATGATCACTGGTAAGCAAGTAATATCTTACTCTGGAGTTCTTAGCATTGATCGAATTCAATTGATAGGAAAGTGGCAAAATAATCATTAATTTAAACAATTCTAATTTTATGTAGTTTGTATTTGTTACTCGATAGTTGAAGATAGGCTGTAGGTAGTCATAACGACATCTACTACATCGCCCAACGTGGTGGTTAGAGACAGTGCTGCTGAGTTACTTCAGCCAAAACTAACCTAATTCAGCAATCTCATTTTAAGAGTGGTCGACTGAACACAGAACAGAAAGTTAAATAGGGTAAGAATGGTTACCATTCAAAGTAAAATAAATCAGTTCTTCAAATGTTCAGCTATGACTTGAATAGCTCCGTCTACATTGCTGATTGACGAGGACTTTCATTGAGGCTCTGAAAACTCTTTATTAATGAATACCTGAGCGAAACTTAGACCTAAAGCCCCTCATTGATTATCTACAGCCAACTGAAATAACTTCATAAAAAGGTCTTGGTTTATTCACTTACAGATAAGATTAAAAGAGAAACAAAAAATGACTTTTGAATAAACTAGCCATCAAGGAATAAAAGTTGGACAAAATACAAATGGTTTTCATGACATACCCGACTATCCATTGAGAAATGACGATAAACTGTCTCAGCACCATACAGAAAAGCGTCACCGTCATTTGTGATACAAGCGTCCACTAGCTGAAGGAATAAATGAGAAAATTTTTTTTACCTTTGGCTGGAACAGTCTTGTTCATTAAAAATATATAAAAAAACCAAGGAATAATTAATAAAAATCAGTTATCAGAAAACGTCTATGGATTTGGTGAGAATTCGGATCGAGACAATATGTATAAAACCATGGCATGCTGGTTGGAAAACAAATATTCAAACTACTGTGATATAATTATACCTATTTAAAGCCTATATGATTAGTGTAAACTGAGAAATGAGGTAACTGCTATGACAGGAAGAATAATGGGAAAGTTGAAATTCTCAGAGTTATTTTTCGGATTATTATTCATATTTTTACCATATAACTGATAGATAACTTTACTGTTGCAGTTCTATGTCCCCTTATTGTAAGCTTCCGGTGGACCTATTGACTGTTGTTATAAGTTTCACTGTTCTCTGATTATTGCTAACTAATTGCGTACTGTTCGCTCCCCCCCCTCTACCACATGGTATGATTATACTTAAAGTGTGATTATTCATTTGGTGCCGTATGTGGTCAGGGATCGCCAGTATATTATCATATGAGTTTTGAGTCATGATTGAATTGGACAAAATGAAAAACTAATCTGTTTTCTACTGTCGTCTCCTGATTGGCTGCCGGGTTGGAAGGGGCTCCAAGACCAATAAGTGTTAAGGTGTTGATTGTTATTTGCTGGTCAGTGTATCAGTTCGTGAAATAGATTACCGGTTCGACTGGTAAATACTATTTGAAATCTCTAGTTATAGCAAATGAGCAATTTCACAAAACATAACAGTAAAGTATAGCATAAGATTAGTATCTTAAGCAATAGAAAACAACAGTTACAAATGTAGTACTTCTATAATACCATGTAGCGATATATCTGATTATGATAACCACATACTCCTGGTGCACACAGGTAATTAAGACATTTATGAACTACAAAATGCTCAAGTAAAATTTGAAGCAATAAACTCACAATTGATGGATTAGTGCTCAAACCAAAGAACTAATTTTCTATTAATGGGGAAACAGTGAGTCCTTCTTTAAAACTTACTTTATTTGAATTAAGGAATGCACACATAGCTTCCGCTTCTCCAGGACTCTGGACCCATGGAATGCCAAATGAATTAAGTAGTTGAATGCACTAAAAGACACAACAAAGAAGTATTAAATTGAACAGTCACTGAGGCCTCAATGTCGTTTATAACGTCTACTTTAATGCAATAACAAAACACCTCCATAACAGTGACTATTATTGTGGAAAAGTCATTTTTTCTTTGTGCTACATCCCCCATTCCTGTCATATTGGTTAATAAAAAAATGTAAAGTAAGGTGATTCTGGGGAACGCAAATAGACTATAGACGAAAATGTGCTTCAACGTTTAGTATATAACAGACAGTGACTACTTATTAGTCTATCTCATATCATGACAAGAGCTACGTACTTGTGTTTCACGATATTTAAGTCAGTCCAATTTGGAAACTAGAAAAGGTTCAACTAACTACTTTGAACGTTTTAGATTTTCTTCGGTCTCGGATACCAGTGTTCTGATAAACGAATAAGAAAGCAGAGTTTAGATGCTGTGACTTAATTATTCTAGTTAGATTTCAGTAAATTCACTAATTAATCCATTTCATTTCATGATACAACACTGTTAATACAGTGGCTTTGAAAATAAAATTACTATGCCCTTGGGTAATCGAATTATCTTGGAACCTTAAAATCCTCATTTACTACTTACTTCTTGAGATACTTTTGAGAACCGTATTCTATTAAGATTTGGTTTCGTACATTTCTGAGTTGTGATTTTCCCTGTCCTAGGAAAAGAGAATAGAACGAAAATGACGGTAATCGATACATTTTGAAGAAAACAGACATCAAGACTACTACGGTGATATAACAGAACTCAAAGTAACTAGAAACACTATGCCCATAGGAATTGGGAAGAAGTCAGAATGACCGTTAGCAGGATAGAGCCATGATTAAAGTATGCTTCAGACAAAATGACGTTGGGGTACACTGATTAGTCTACTTGCAACCAATCAGATCTAATGAATGGGGTGAGAAGACTTTAAAATTCCTTTATGTAAGGTTTGTATGTACATTGATATTTTTATGTTACATTTACCTAACTTTTTGTCTGCTTTGGAATATATTGACGTCTCTATTCAAGTCGTGTTTTGATACTGGAACAAGTAAAGTGAAGTGTTCAAGAATGCTAGGTCAAATAAAACTTAACAATAACGGAAACTGTTTCAATAAACAGCTGTCTCTTTTATTAAGTTTGTAACTCAAGAAGTTGCAAAGTCATGTCGTTGAATAATTTATAAAAAGAATTTCAGTTATTCTAGTGGCTGTTAATCATCAGTCCTATAACTGGATATCGATTTTGACAAATCAATGGTTAATTTTAGTGGGGAAGGAATATGATAAGAAATATACACAAAATACAAGATGTAATATATCTTGAAAATGACGAAATGCTAACTGAATAGAAGTGGAAGAAATTAATTCTAATTAAACATCTTATCCTTGAATAAATAATGAAAACGAAAATGAACATGAAATATTCTCTTAAACTGAGCTATTTCATTTAGTTTCCAGTCATAAATTTCTTAATTCAATTTTCAAAATAAAAGACTTAAATTGTTCAGTTTTCCCTATGAGAACGGAATATGACAGTTGAAATGTGAAAACGAACGCTTTCAGGTAAATCAAAATGTAGAAACAGTGTAGAAAGTCACGTCTTGGATCCTATTGTCAACCAAAATCTATATACGGTAATATAGTATAAAACTTTAAAAAAACGAAACAAGCTCAGTGAGCATATGAAGCTTTAAATCTGATTATTACTTGAACTCTAGTCATTATTGGACACACAGGAATTTATCTACTAGGGAGTGTTAAGCGTCTGAAAAATTTCACCTATTGGTAATAACTCTAGTTTGATCCGTCGACTAACACTCTACATCTGGAACAACAATCACTGTAAGAAAAGTTTCACCAATAATGACAAATTTTGAATATAGCCAGGTAGAACGTTTTGTTGGTACGTTCAAAAATGCTCTAAAAAATCAAGAGGGGAGGGGGACACCGAAGAGATCTTAGAGAGGTTCTTGTTTATTTACCGTTCTACTATTTTATTATTTATTTTATTTAAACACATAAATATTGGTACAAGGAAGCACCAGATAAATATGCGCCTCACAAATCTCATTCGATTTGTGTGAGGGCTGTGATACTGCCCAGGTGCCCAGACAACAAATGGGGTCTCTCTAGCGAAAGCTTTACTTGGCAGAAAAATAAGGACACATTTCGATGTCATCTGTCCGACACCAGCTCGTGAACTCCAACGAAACTTATCGATGGAGAAGCAGTTCAATCGACACCATGGGGCACAAAGACGATTGTTCACGGTGGGTCAAAAAGTGCTTGCTATGGACTATCGTGGTAAACATCCTATGTGGACAGTTGGTCGGATCGTGAGAAAGAAAGGGAATGTGGTTAATGATGTGTCAGTTGGCTCAGAAGTTTGGATACGTCATGCTAACCAACTGAAAGCAACTTCGATATCCAGCAGAGAGAATAGACATCGAATACCTCTTGACGTTCTGCTAGACACCTTTGAAATCAAAACACCTAGAACAGACAGGTCAGTTTCTGTGCAAGCAAAGAGTGATACAACTTCCTTATTGCCTAGACGATGAACAGATCGAAAGCACAGGCCAGTCACTCGGTTGCAGTTGGACCCTAGCACCCGATCGTACGAATCTGCTCAAGGGGGAGGTGTTAGCGGTACATAGATTGGATTAAAGCATGTTTCATGTATGATGGTGTTCCTGCGCGCTGATTGGCTAATTCTAGACCAATCAGCCCAGGCAAATTATTGGAGAAAGATCTAGAAGCTTCTTATGTATTTACTATAAAAATATGAACGTTATTCAAATCAGTGATTGCTGTTCACTTACCATTGTTATTTTGAATACAATTTCATTCCTGTTCAACGTGTTCTGATTTTGGGGTCTTGTCGAGTGTCATTGTATAAGGATACTAAGCAATAGGAGTAGCTGGGTTGTTTATTAGCAAATACAATTATAACAATTCATTTTTGATTATCTATTCTTAATGACTACAACTCAGTCAAACAGATGTGGGACGCGTGTTATAATTCCCTTCGAAGTGTTAGTTAACCACGTTAGTGGAATCAAATATAGTAAATCTTTGCAAACACAAAAAGTCATTCGATATCTGCGTCGTAATGTCACCAACCATCAGCCTGTCTCGTCTAACTAATTCACTTTTTCACCTTATACAATATATTTATTTCAAGTTCAACCTAGCTAGCTGGAACAGTGAAAACATACTGCTACTCATAAAACTTAGGGATGAAAAGACACGTACTGGAGATATATTCTCTTTCTAAAACATCAACACTAAATCTAGTTTTATTAACAGCTTCCCAAGAAAAACAGCTCACCATTTTTGTTGTCTCTGTTCCATAACGTCCGATTTAAGTGACGGAGCGACACCATCCAAAACTGCGACAGGCAGGGTATTTTCACGTAACAGACCCACTAACCGAAAAAACAAATTCCTGATTGTGGAAAACAAAAGTGGATTATTATACTGAAAAAAATAAAGAATCTGGAATTAGGTTTTCAAACTATTAACTAAATGTTAATTTCGTTTATGTCCGACTATAAGAGGATTGATTTATTATACACTATCACCATACAAGTCATACCTGTTAGGTGTCCTGATAAGGACTTAATATCAAACAAAAACTTATGCCCAGAGAAAAAGTGAGATAAAACTAATCATTTTGAAAAGTAGTAATTTGACTTAACCATAACAGCTTTCTGCTGGATAAAATGAAGTCTTGACAAAATAGCTAAAAGTATGATAATCAAAACGAAAAGGACTTTTGTATCACTATGCACAGCAGTTGGATTATAAATATATTTTAGACGAATGTCGGTAAATTTACCGTCAAGTTTATGTGGCGGAGGGTAGCCAGAAAAAAGTTTAATATTTCGCAACATTGGTCAATAGATGTTCACAAGTAACATAAAGATGTTTTAGAGATATTTCTGAAAACCAGTAGAAAAACACGACTTTTAAGTGGCAAGCAAATAATCTGGGCAAGCTTGTGACATTTGATGTCTAATATATGAATGGAAATTGGGAATCTTTGGTAAGATATTACTTTAAGGCTTCAAACAGCACTCAGTTTAACCTGATTGTTAATATTTAAAGCACATGCTGGGAATTCATTTACTACCACCTCATTTAGAAGCCGGTCACGTGAACAATCCAATCTTAAGCATAATCTATTGCAGGATACCACTAATGAAGTCTCTTTCTAGTGTTTACAGTACAGTATAAACTTAGTGAGCATTGCTGACTAGCCGCGCTGTTCAGTAGAATTTCTCATCTCACTTAAGGGGCAACTGAAAAAGCTTCTGCTTACCAATCAAAGATACTATTAAGGAATTTGATGTTTACCAGTTCAGTCTGCATGTTGAAAGAAATATGGACTATTAGCAGTATTGATGTAACTACACATTTTAGATAATTTGATATCTGAATGTTCAAAAAGCTGTCCACCAAACATACTCCAAAGGGTTTGAGCAGCTTCATGGAACCTAACTGAAGTGCCATGTGACAGTGAGTTTTAATTGGCGACTGAGCGAAGAAAACAGGCTTTAGTATGTACAAACTATTACTGCATAGTTTTTTGTCATATGTAAAAGGTTAATTTATATTTGGGACTCATAATGTAAACGGACTCCAACTGCTTTGTTAAATAGACGATTATCTGGCTAATAATCTGATTTTATGTTTTCTGTCACGAAAAGTGTGACTTCAGACTGTATATGGTGCATGGGTCGATTATCTAGTCTAATGACCATAGTATTATCGTATCCCAGTATCATATGGCGAATAGAAAATTCTTTTGCTGTTATATTACAAAGATATCTGGACCTATTTCTGCATGTCCGCTAGACATTAACTTCTTGAGAACAGCAAGATTTTAGCAGAAACATCTTTTTGAGCCAATTCGACTTTAAATAGTATTTTTCATGACTGACTAAGAGCAACTGTTTATTTCTGAAGACTAAAGGTTACAAAGGTTAATTGATTTATGTGATCAAAACGTGTAAACGAAATAAGCCAAATGACATCTAGTGGAAATCTTGTGGGAAGTTAAAAAATCGAAGGGATATGTTTTGATAATTTATTGGTAGGATTCGTAAGAATCAGGAACGTCCCGCTAAGTAAGAAAAAGAAATGAGGCCCTTTAAGACTATCCCACATTGAAGACCTCAATTACATCACTGAAGGTATATGTGTTAAGATAAGAATAGGACCTTTAGTCGCAACCTTTTAGTCATCACAAACCTTCATCTGATAACTTTTGTCTTAATTGCGTGTATTGTTAACATACAATTGTGTTAAATCCAAAAATGCAGTTTCTAACTTGTATATCGCCTGAGAATAAACCGTTGAGTAATTATCTTAAATTAAGTTTCTCCCGAATGTTCTTTACCGAGCAAGAGTTATATACCAATTCGAATTGATAAATAGTTGAACAGGAGTTGTCATGTAGGTTATCGAACAATAGAAAACTTAGTTGTGCCATATTTCACGGCCTTCCACCTGCAGCAAGTGATTGAAGGAAGGCAGAATTGATTAAACTGGCATTTTAAATGCATTTTTAATCACCTAACTGGAGTTTAGAAGTTGTTAAAGGCTATGTTTGATTTTGTTGATCACTCAACTACAGCCTTTTGTTATTCCTTCAGTACTATGTAATTACTATCGCTGACAAATATCAACCAATGAAATGGAATACAACTACAACGTATCCTGCCATGTAGATAAATTTGCATCCACGATAAATAAATGTAGGGTAAACGTAATTTTAATAGATATGCGGGACCATACAGAAATTCACATGAAATCGTACCTTAAATGTAGTGCAGGTAAAGGTGCAATTGATTTATCTCCACAAATCCATATACTGAGATCAACAGCAACAGAATCGCAACCAATTTTGGATAAGGGGCGGTATTCTTGGACAGAAGAGAGTATGCCCCACAATCCATGGACTCCCATTCTGAAACTAGAAATAAAATCGTGCGAACCCTCTAGCCCTTTCTTTGTTTTTCAAAACTCAAAAGACCTTTGTATGTTATAACATGAGAAGATATGGCGTACCTAGTTGAGAAAATAAAATTAAACGCTAACCAAGATAAAAGCTGAGCAAAAATGATGGCTTGGTATATTCCTAATCAGAACGAAAGATCTGATACAAGTTGTATTACTACCCCAACTACTAAGGCACCGGCGGTAATAAATATAGCATGATTCACCACATTAACAGGGTTTTACGTTTCAGATCAAAAAGGTACAGTAACTCCAAAGTACGTTACTGATATGTTCACTAAAACGACGAATACTCAGGAACTAATATAACTCGTGTAATGGGTATGTTTCGTAGAAAATTGTGTGAACATTTTCTGATTATATCTAAGAAGCAGGAGTTTGATATCGCAAACAACACCCACACGGTTTGTCATGGAGGTACAACTCATTTCCCTTGTTCGTCTGTTACGACAGAAAGTGACAAGGTACATGTTCAGTCTTCAGTAATACATGTTAACATATGTTAACGTATATACCATTTTCCCAATTAAGTCCATTGGAAAAGGGTACCCTTTAACGTTATATGAGGGTTATATATTAGTGTGAGGAATTAGGATTTACGGCCTAATGTTAGAATTAGGTATTAGATTTAATATTTTCATCACGAAAAATCAGCTATAATGCCAAAATGGTATTTAGCCAAATGAGTGAATGCATTTCTTTCCAACATCCAAGATCTACTCTCTTAAATGCGATTGTTTCGTCCATAAATTATAGTCTCGCGCATAAATTTTACTTGAATTGTTATTTATTTACTGGTTTATGGAGGTAAGTCAAAAAATGTGCAGATACTCTCAAGACGATAACTGGCATCACAAATATGATGTGAAGTGACGCAACGTACAAAATATGCGCTTTCAATCCTCTGTAGGAATGGTGCAAATAGCAGAAGCTTTCGCTTAACAGGCTTCCGTACCTAGCAGCAGTAGATCAGTGGTATCCCCAGTTAAGAACCTAGGTATATTAACGGTAAAAGAGAAAGAAGAATTGTTAGAAACCACAATTGAACTAGCTTTATTCCAGCACATTAGTGAGAGAAATGTTGGAACGTTACCATCAGCCTTGGCACAGAAAGTGCAGTAGAACGCTACAGGTCGGTAAAAAATAAGTGTATAATTAAAATCTGGGAAGCTCAGGAAAAATATGAAATGCAGTTGGCACAATCTGCAAACAAGCAGCCTAAGAGACTATTCCCGTACATAAATTACAGGACAAGGATGCAGTATCGGATTTTCAACCTTATTAATGAAGGTAGTGGATCTGAAACGATAGAGAGTGATCAGGATGAAGCAGAGGCTATAAAAAACTATTTTGGGGCAGTTTCCCCTCAGGAGCCTCTTCTAGACGGAGAGCTAGACCCAAATATAAAGTCAGCAAATTGTTTACCCACTGTGGACTTTGGTCAAAACGATGTACTCAAGGCTTTTAGCACTTCAGATACGGAAAAGTCAACAGGATCGGATGAACTGCACCCTAAAAACATTGAGACAAGTTGCGCAATACATTGCAGCTTCACTAACTGTGATATTCAACATGTCACTTGACCAAGATGTGTTGCCAGTGGACCGAAGGGATGATCACTCCTATACATAGAACAGGACCAAGAAAACTTCCATCTAACTACGGACATTTCGGTCTCACCAATGTTGTAGTTAGAATGCTGGAAAGAATAGTCAAAAAGACCATAATGACAGTTGTGGAAGTCAACAACCTGTTAAACAGTAAACAACATCGTCTCAGAGAAGGTTCGTCTTGAACAACAAACCTCCTTACGGCAAGGAAGCAATAAATAAAGGCTCTAGAAAACGCAAACTCAGTGGATGTTGTCTACATAGACTTTAGCGAAGCATTTGAGAAGGTGCCATCAAATAGACCTTTCTTGTACATCTTGGAACATCTTGGTATTGCCGGACCACCACTAAAATGACTTTGAAATTTCCTAGTAGGTCGTTAACAGAAACTAAGAATAAATCGCATGTGCTTCGACCATTACTTACTGGAGAACCTTAAGATTCTGTCCTAGGTTCTTTTCTTTTTATACTGTGTGTAAATGACCTCTTAAGTATAGTGTAGTTCTCAATGTTAATATACGCTGACGACGTAAAAGTCTGGTCACAAATAACAAGACACAGATGCTTGCGCTCTTCGGACAGACTTCAATATTGTGATCAACTGGTCTATAGAATGGCTGATCTCTTTCAACGAGGCAAAGTGTGTCTACATGCAGAGGTAAATTGGTGCAGAATATGAGAAGTGCTTGTACTTGTGGTCTGGTTTCACGAGTGCCTTAGATTGACAGTGAGTCGTGATCTTCAGGTCACGCCCCATTGCCGAAAGGTTACAGCCAAGGGTTTTCGAACCCTATGGGTTTTAAGATAGACATTCACGAAGTTAAATACAGCCATGTTCCCTACAGTATACACAACGTTAGTGAGAAATAAGATTAAAGACTACATCTAGGCTGCAAGCTCCTGTTAAATGCTGACTCGGATATATAGGGCAGCTACCCGTGCAATCCCAGAACTCCTGAATTTACCATACAAAGAGTGACTTGAAAAGCTAGACCTCTTTACTGTGTCCTATAGCAGGTTAAGAGGTGATCTGATTTTGATGTATAGGATATTAAGAAGTGATTTTAGACGTGGGTTATCCTTTTCTTTTTGCCTACGAGATCATGGCAACTCAGAGGACATGGCAGGTGAGTGGAAAATCCATGAACGAACAAACCACCCATACCATACAGGTTTTCATACCGAGTCATCAATTGTTGGAACCCGTTACACGAGGTAATGGTGTCACCATTTTTAGCTGACTCATTCAAGAGAAGGCCAGACGCTCACAGAAGCGCACTAGAAAGGGAATAACATAGGCCATAGGCCACACGAATTGGAAACGAACGTGAAAGGACGAATAGCATTTGGAAAGGATTGCTCAGGGCAAGGTTTCATGTAGAGCGCTGTTGTCGGCCTATGCTCATAGACTAGGAGTGACAGGCGTAAGTAAGTAAGTAAGTAGGTATGTACAGATGTAACGTGAAGATGGAGGACTATATGTTTTACACTACAGTTTAGCATCAGTTTGACAATAATAAAATATTCGATGGTTGTTTTGAATACAGTTTAGGACATTTCAGTTACCCACGCAGAAGTCCGTAAGTGAAAAGAGAAGGGAATCTTGTTCTAACTGTTCTGTTGACTGTGCCAAACAATGGTGGAAATTATGTTTAAGTCAACTTCAACAGATGACTTAATAACACACGAAGATAATTATTGCAAACAACTCGGTCTTTTGTTCAGGGTCAGTGTGACATATATTTTTTATTACAGATTTACTAATAATGTTTGCAGTTTTACGGAATGCAGCAGAAAGATGAAGTGTTTGTATTTAAATCAGTACGATTTTTATTCCAGATAACTCGTTTTTAAATCCTTTTTATTTGTTCTCGTTGCTATGAAAGTTTGTAACTATGTTGATGAAAATGTACTACCAAAATTATATAGTATCGATGATGCAGCTTTGGAAAAATACAAAGTAATCGTCCCAGAGTTTATACCCTATTTTTGTATTTGTAGTTTATATATAGGGTTTTAAAACTTTGGTCTTAGCTGATTTTGAATTCATACTCTAGATTACCTGTCTGTCTGTTTATTTATAAATAAAGTTTTTCTCTAATTATTAGTTAATTTGATGGGTAATTAGAGGCAGTTAAATCGAGTTTAAAATGGTAAGGTATAACTTTTAGTTGATATGTATTGGTTAAACTGATAATAATGAAAGCTTTACAGCAAAGATACTTGACTCAAGTCTACATAATCAAGAAATAGTAACATTACTTAAAATTCCATCAAAACAACTCAGTCAAAGTTTTTCTCGAACATAATCTCCGACGTTTTGACACGTAAAACAAGCTATAGAAAGTCTAGTAACTTTTTTTTAAATGGATCAAAAAAATAATGCATAAATTTGATAAATTCAGAAAACAATCATTACAGATATTTTAGTTATTTTTATATTTATTCCAAGTTTTTATTCCAAGGAGTCCCACAATAGGATGAAATGGCCGTCCAGTGCTTCCAGGTTGTCAATGGTGGTCTAGCTTCAATTGACCCATGATCTCAACTATATAAAATTACTAAAATCTCCATCAAACCCCTTCTGAAAATTAATGAATAATTCATAAGTGATTCATTACAGGACCATATTTGTTTACAATGTTAATAACTTACCAATATCATTATAAACAGATAAATAATATGATTGAATCCCTTATTGTATTCTATTGTAAAATTCTATTGTACAATCTACACTTATAAGTACAGACAAAACTAAACCAACTGTTGAAATAAATATTAACTATCTATAACTAACATAAATGGTAATATAAAGTATTCGTTATTTTTTTCCGTTTAATTAAATTAAATTATCAACTTTTTCGGCGTCTACCAACTGTATGATACAATTAAAGATGATGTTTATAAATTTTCTATCTGTTTCTATTCATCGGTATGTTTGTAGTTAGTTTAAAGAAAAAACAATAAAGTTTGTTGATAATAATAATAATAATAATAATAATAATAATTACAGTAATGTGACTGACTACGATTTCTTTTTTTATTTAACCTAGGTACTATTTTCTGGCATTGACCTCCTTTTTTTGCAGTAACATAAGGAACAATATTATTTATAACTGAATGACACGTGAATATAAGAATATCATGGACAAATATAATGGGAATAAGATAGTTTATTTTTAAAATAAGCACTACAGCATTAGAATAACAGTTGTGCATTCATTATATATATACTAAAGGAAACGATCTATTTAATAAAATAATAAAGTTAATTGCTTCTATATTTATTCCATTTTTTTATTCTAGAAAATTCTTAGCTAGTAAATACTAACAATAACAATACACAGTTCTATCTTGGCACATTTAATTGATAGTGATCATAATGTAGATAAATCGTAATCATTTCGAGTGATCTATCGTATACCCTCATTTCCCAACGGAGTTCGTTCCCGTCTCCTTCATATAGCAGAAGCCATAGGAATTCGTACATTCCACCCCAATTTATGTGTACAGAAGAATTGTGTAAACCTGTATCCCTTCCATGGCCGGACATAACTTAACAGATGACATTATTATTATTCTTAAATTTTATCCTTAATTTTGTTATGATTTGTTTGGAATTTTCCGCCTCTTTCCGTTCGTATTCTTCACTATCTAATTACTTACATACTTCTTATTACGTAATGATTTTAACGTTTTCTGATTACTATTCTAGTCTATTTACCCATGTTTGACCTCCCATTTCCAATGTTTAACTATTGATAAGACTTTTGTAATCGTAATTTAATATTCTTTCTTCTATCAGTACACCTGTCTTCCCACTATCAACTTGTACTTTTACCTATTATGCTCGATGACGTATTCTATTTCATTGTGATTATTGACTCAAATAGCCTTGATTGGTCTAAAATTTTCGTATAAATATTCATGTATATTAGAGTAAAGCCTGATGACGATCTAATTGAAAACAATTGTTCGCTTACATGTATTGTTTTAATTACTAATTTAGAAGGGGGTTTGTGGAGATTTCAGTATTTTTCAAAGTTGAAATCATGAGTCAATTGAAGCTAGACCACCATCGAAAACCTGGAAACAGTGGACGGCCGTTTCGTCCTATTATGGGACTCCTCAGCAGTGCGCATCCACGAACCCGCTTTGGCGAGACTAAAGAACATGGACGAGCCAACCAGAGGCTTTCGCTGGTTTTCAAGGTCACGGCGCTAAGTTCGGTACCTGACGCTTACGTACGGTCGGTATACAACGGATTTTAGAGAAAACATGATAATTAAGCGTCTACAGGATTAGTTATCATAAGATTTTGGCGCAAAATTCAATTATA